GGCCAGGTCCGCGCTCCTGCAACCATCGCCGGGAGGCCAGGTCCGCGCTCCTGCAACCATCGCCGGGAGGCCAGGTCCGCGCTCCTGCAACCATCACTGCGAGGTCATCTGTTGCTAAATCTGCACCCTGGGTGTCCTGAGCCTGCAGCTGGCTCTGCACTGAGTTGTGATTTTCTCTAAATGCACACACCCTGAACAAACGAGTGAACAATCTAGTGAACAATCTGAGAGACGTAGGTATGTTTGCTGAGTACTAAAGCCAAGGCTGATTTGAAAGTTAGGCTGCTACAACCTGGCCAACATAGTGAAATCCTGTCTTTACTAAAAACACAAAAAAATTAGCTGGGCATGGTGGCAGGTGCCTATAATCCCAGCTACTTGGGAGGCTGAGGCAGGAGAATCGCTTGAGCCCAGGAGGAGGATGTTGCAGTGAGCCGAGATCGTGTCACTGCACTGTAGCTGGGTGACAGAGCAAGACTTCATCTCCAAAACAAAAAGATAATGAAGAAAAGATTTAAAAAAAAAAGAAAGGAAGTTAGGTTGGTCAATTCCCATCAGCCTTTGACAGTGGAAGGGAGGTTGTTGAGGGTTGGCTGGAGAAGAGTGAGTTCCCGAATGGGTTGAAATAAATAATTTATTGCTGACTCTTGTCAACATCAGCCAGTCCTGCTCACCACACCCATCCCCTCCTCTGAGGGCAAATTCCAGTGGGGACTTTAGGATGGTGGCACCGGGGGGACCAAGATACTGGGGGCATCAGTTCTGCAGGTACAGCACACCTGGAAGCACAGGGCTGGCCTCCCCGGCTGACCTCTGACCCTGGGGTCATCTGAGGCCTGTGTGCACCCCGCCATCCTGCTGCCAACACAGGGGTCAAGTGTGTTCCTCACAAGCGTGGCCTGGTTTGGGATCATGGTGATGAAGGACTCTGTGTCACTGAGTGGGAAGGACAGAGGGTAAACCAGAGCTTAGCTCAGTTCCCCCATTAGCCTCCTAATAGAGACGTCGTGGTGGCGCGGGATCCATGTGGATCCATGTCATGTGGAAAATCCTATCTGGACCAACACAGCGAGTGGGAATGAGAGCCGGCACCCCTGCTCCAGCTGCCAGCAAGATCCTGCATAGGTAGCGACTGACAAGGCCTGTGCCTGCCCTGGAGATGATTTCAGGGGACTTCGCAGATGCAACTATATCTATCGGTAGCATGTCATCAGACGAAAAGTCCCAAATCCACCTGTAATTTTCACAAAAATAATAGGCAGGAATGAGAAGCCACAAGATGCCTCGCTGTTGGGCTCATGGATCCTCTGCACGCTCCCACGGCCAGAAGGCAAATGCCTCATGCTGGTCCTCATGACTAGTTAAATTTTCACTGCTTCGAGAGCAACCGCTTAGTTTTCATTGCTTAGAGAGGCCCAATTTAAGGAAGTTTCATCTCCCCACATCTAAGTGAACAGAACAAAGAAACTGAAGAAATCTGAAATCTCTTCTTCAAAGACAACTCTACATATAAATTTAGAAAGACTTTCTATTAAGCAAAAGTTGGCAACCAAAATTTCCATCAAAAAAACCTTTAACTTCACAGTTTTATGCTTAGTATTTACGAGTGAAGAAACTGCAACCTGTGACCTCACAACACTCCAGTCACCTAACAAAGCAGAGAAGCAGCGAGTGGACTCTCAACTCTCCTCCGCCGTCCAGGTGTCATGGCTACAACCGTGAGCCCGAATAGACTGTGGGTTTCCGCTCACACACGCCTGACACCACCCAAGACTCCGCAGAAACAAGCAAGCTCAGGCTTGGCTACTGCAATGATTCCAGCTTTGGTTTGGCATCAAGACCTCCACCCATTCAATGTAATTTAGTAAAGGTCATTTTCTTCAGGGGTCTCTTCCTCCAACTTTAAACTTGGAAAACTAGAAAAGGTAAGAGACAGACACCAACACTTTGACAATAGCAAATAGCTCTGGAGAGCCTGAGGTCGGAGGTAACGAGGGAGAGGAATAAAAAAAAAAAGGCGAAGCCGGGATGCAGAGAGGTAGAGATTCCTCCTACAGATGTGGGGCTGAGGTGTGTACAGTAGGTAATAGAGAGGCTCCTCCTGGAGATGTGGGGCTGAGGTGTATACAGTAGGTAATAGGCTCCTGCAGACATGAGGCTGAGGTGTGTACAGTAGGTAATAGGCTCCTGCAGACATGAAGCTGAGGTGTATACAGTAGGTAATAGAGAGGCTCCTGCAGACATGGGGCTGAGGTGTATACAGTAGGTAATAGGCTCCTACAGATGTGGGGCCGAGGTGTGTACAGGAGGTAATAGAGGGGCTCTGCAGACATGAAGCTGAGGTGTATACAGTAGGTAATAGAGAGGCTCCTGCAGACATGGGGCTGAGGTGTATACAGTAGGTAATAGGCTCCTACAGATGTGGGGCCGAGGTGTGTACAGGAGGTAATAGAGGGGCTCCTGCAGACACGGGGCCGAGGTGTATACAGTAGGTAATAGGCTCCTGCAGACGTGGGGCCGAGGTGTGTACAGTAGGTAATAGGCTCCTACAGATGTGGGGCCGAGGTGTGTACAGGAGGTAATAGAGGGGCTCCTGCAGACATGGGGTTGAGGTGTATACAGTAGGTAATAGAGAGGCTCCTGCAGGCACGGGGCCGAGGTGTGTACAGTAGGTAAAAGGCTCCTGCAGACACGGGGCTGAGGTGTGTACAGGAGGTAATAGAGGGGCTCCTGCAGACATGGGGTTGAGGTGTATACAGTAGGTAAAAGGCTCCTGCAGACGTGGGGCCGAGGTGTATACAGTAGGAAGCAGAGACTGCAGGACTCGGCCCCACACCTGCAGTCATTGGGCCACGACAGTCATTGGGCCACATTTCAGGGCCAAATTTTCTGGGATTTTCGGGGAGGGATGAGCTACGTGCCCGGCTTTATGGATTTGGTCTATGGAATTTGCAACTCGATTTTCCACAAGTCCTTGGCCCTGCCATTTAGATGGAAGGTATTGATAAATAATAAATTATTTACAAGCCTCCGCTCAAAGGTATTTCCACATTTTTCTACTCCTGGTGGAGACAGTGATTTGCCCTGAATATTTAAACAGTGCTTAGATTGAACCCCACTCCACGCTTTGTGCCCTGGCGAAGCTGGCCCCTGCTCAGCTCCGGGGTGTCGCCCTGCACATGGTCTTCCCCAGCTTCAACGGTCAGCTGGGGCTGGAGACGTGGCCTAACACTAGCGCAGTCTGACTGTGCCTCCACGCTCTGGCTTCTGGCACCCGGACAAGGAGACCCTCACTTCATGGTCCCAAGGCACTGTCAGAAACCACTTTGTGGTGTCAGGAAGAACCCGTCTCAGGATAATGCAGAATAGGAAGATTAAACAAGACCACGTGGTTGGTGACATCACTGAGCTGCTGGGTCAAACTGTCCCTGAAGGCTTGTCTTCTGGATGTCAGCGACAGAAGCCAATAGACCCCCTTTGTTACATTATTATTTAAGTGAGTTTGAATGGTCAGCAATCTGACTGATACAGCTCAGTGAAAGTTGAAAATTGAAAGCTGAAATACTTTAATTTCCTACCACCTTGAAAATCCTGCCTAGGCTAAAGGAAGCACTAAATGGTTTCTCTCAGGGAAGTCCTGCCGTACAGATTGGCTATGTGCAGGTTCCTAAGAGGAGGAATTTCACTGAGGCCACCCTTGCAGCACTTATTTTTCTGTGCATAAAGACTGTTAATTAGGACTTTATATCCTCCACAGGAAAGTCAATTTTATGAGATTGGTTCCTTTACAAAGCCTGACTCTCTGCAGTAAGAGAATATTTAAACAATAACAGCAACAATATGTTTGTGAGAGCAAACGAGGGTTGCAGCTCCAATTCAAGAGGCCCACCATGGCTAGTCTTGAAGATTGTCACTTATCTGCTTTTTAAGGAGCTGTTAACTGAAAATGTGGGACTCAGAGCTTCGGGGACTTTCCGCGTTGAGTGTTCCGCCAGGGGTGCTTGCGTGTCTCAGCAGCAGAGCTATTTCTGGGGAAAGCAGAAATCATCAACTCACTGAAAATACCCATGATTGATCCAAGCTTCCTCTTTCAAAGAAAAACCGGAAGTTCCTCCTTCCGTATTCTTGTGGAAGGCACTGCAGGTGCAGGGCCCCGCAGCCGGGTGTCTGGGGAGCAGCCCTCCTGCCGCTGACGGGTCAGGCTGGCTCCGTGAGTGATTAATTCCCAGGTCACATTGCTGTCGACAGCTGGGAGACAATGATTAAAACTTGAGTGGGTTTATTCCTGTGCATTGGAACTTGAAAATATCATTTTTTTTTCTTGGATAAGTAATAAGAAAAGTAAAACAAGATGAAAGAAAGGAGAGTGTGTGCTATGGACACAAAGATGTAGAAAGGCACGGTCCTGGAAGGAGTGTGGGAGCAGCTTGAGAGCAGATGGACGGAAAGAGCCGCAGCAGAGGCAGCCCAGAGACACCTGGAGATCAGGGGCATGTGGCCCAGGCCACGTTTCAAACCATGGGCGAGAGAATGGCTGCTTCCATCCCTGGAATAGAGACCGTTTTGGGAAGTTAATTTGGAAACCTGTAAGATGCAAATTCCAAGCAGATTAAAGTTTGCAGTGATGGGGTTTTCTGTAGGCAGACTTTTTCTAGATGTCCGAAGAGCTGATGGGGCAGAGCCTCAAGGTCCCATGCAGTGCTGAGGCTGAGCCACATGCCACACTTGCCTCTGGAGGGCCTCATCGCCGGCTGCATCTGCAGGCTGCTCTTGCAACGTCCTTATTACAAAATGCAAAGAAGACCCACTCCACGTCCTGTCCAGCTGCCTCCGTGTCTAGAAAGGGGCCCATCCACTTCATGCCTGAGCAACAGGGACCCGCCCTGAGCGGTCCGCGTGCCACCGAGGAAAAGCCTCGGCGAGAACAGAGACGCGTACAGGGTGCTGCCCGGAGGGGCACTTGGCTCCTGCAAGAAGGGCTGGCGGGACGCCTGCCGGGGCGTTTTGGAACATAAGCCACTCTGCGTGCGCCTCACACAAGCAATGTCTGCTGCAGCAAAGCACAGCCCTTCTCTAAGCAGGTCAACTGCAGCCACCCTCCTCCTGCCACTCAGGCCCCGGCTCTCGGCCCAGCCACACACGCTGCAGACCCATGGGTGACATTTCCCCGCTTCAAACCTCCATCCCACTTTCTGGTTTTATTTTATTTTATGCATTTTATTCTATGTGATCTATTTATAATCTGTTCTGGAACTGGGCCAGATTTTAATCAATTAACAAATCGGTTGCTTTAGAGTCTGGTAACCCCAACTTACTAGAGTCATTTCCAGGTGGATAAAGCCCTCAGTGCAGGGCTTTGGGGAGAGACTCTGTAATGTTCTGGAGAAGAATGTTTTTTACACTAATTTGTTAATTGCAGAAGACTCATGCAGAAACTGAAACAGATCCGTGGGAACCAGAGAACGGACGCCCACGCTGCAGCTGTTGCCCCCAGCCCACGCCACTGCCCTGGGGCAGAGCCGCTGTCCGCACATTAAGCCTAACGGATGGCGCTTCCTCCAGAGCTCTCCACCCACCTCCAGAATCTGCACTGGGAGCAGCCTGTGTTTAACGGCTCTGATGGACAGACAGCGGGGTGGACATCCCGCCCGCACGAGGGAGGCCACCGGACACGTCGCCGGGCCACTGCACCCAGCTGGCCCTGCAGAGGCGCTGCAGGAACTCAGGCACGCTTGATTTGAGAGCAGCAAGCACAGGGACACCCGTTTGTCACATCCAAATAAGCAGGTGTCAGTCTTCCTGCCCGACTCCCAGATCAGGGCTGAAGCCTGCTCTCTTCAGCTTGAAATGAGTCAGCCCGGGGCTAGCGAGTGAGCTGGGGTTCAAGTGAGGTAACACTGGCCTGGCCCCCCGAGGAGGAAGGGCTCACACTTCGGGAGCAGAGGGGCCCCACCAGTCACTCCCCAGGAACAGGGGTGCAGGCGAGGAGGGGTCAGAGTGGGGAGAAGAAGCACAGGCGAGCCCCGAGCCAGGTCCGCGAGGGGAAGCACAGCTCCCACAGGCTTCTACACGGCCACTCAGCGTTGAGAGGGCTGGGGAACCAATGTCTCCAGGGACGGCTCCCACGGGCAAGCCCCCAACCTCCAGAGTGGGCTGCGAGGGGACACCCACAGGGCTGCGAGCCGGCCCGGGCTGCGCCCCCTACTCTGCTGGGCTGGAGGAAGGTCGGCCAGGATCTGGAATTCCCACAGGTGAGGCACAGGCATCTGTCTGCTCCTGGAGAACGTGGTTGGAGACTGAGGCCGTCCTGGCTGTAGCGAGGTCGTGCTGCGTCTTCCCTGCACCCTCCCAGTATCTCAGACCGTGGTGCTCCCCGCAGTGAACCCTGCCCGAGACGCAGGCAGGGCCCTTCCATGGGGCCTGATATGGGGCTCTGTGTTTCCAAAGGCAGCATGACTGGGTGGGAAATCGCAGTGAGAAGGTCATTGAGGTATTTTCCACGCTAGGAGCACCCTCAACTCAAGTTAAACACACAAATCCACCACCCTGTCTCCAACAGCCCTGGAGAGCAACTGGGCTCTGCTGCTCTTAATGCCACTGGAGGCTTGTGTAGATGAACTCACGTAAGCAGAGCTGCCCAGCACCCGCTGGGGGGTCCTTGCTGACAGGACTCTGGGTGTTGTGGGGGTGACGGGCACAAGTAAGTGTGTCTGAAGCAGCAGGGAAGGTGTCACGGAAGAGGTGACAGCCCCGGGGACACTTCAGGCCCAGGGAACCTGGGGAGATGAGGGAGGAGGCATTTGGGCCGAGGGAACTTTCCAGAATCCGGCGAGGATGAGGGCAGACCATGTTGTTTTCATCCATTGTCTGGGTCAGGTGTCGTAAAGACGCACTCTTAGAACCAGCTCTGCTGGGTGACGACTCGGAGAAAAACAGTTACTTTTGTTCTCTCCTGAACTTCAAGTACAGTAAAGAGATTTTGTAAAACAAAAGCAGCTCACACAAAGGGAATGAGGCAGAGATGTCTGCAAAGTGGAGGGACCGGGGCCAGCATTTCTGTGGACCCCAGAAACAACTCTGACACAGCAGTGGGGACAGGGCACCCTGATTTAGATCCTGAACCCCAAAGCCCCTGGAACCACGGGCCGAGGATGATGCTGGGGGGAGGGCTGGAGGTGGGGAGGGGTCTGCACAGGCTAAAGACCCTTCCCCACCCCTACCTCCTGGGGCCACCTTCCCTTCCTGTCTCTTCTGTGCGGAGACTGAAGCAGCCCCTGGGCCTGGGCAGCCGCGAGCTCTGGAGGGAGTCCCTCTGCTTAACGCCAGGCCAGCCACCTTCCCCACTTGCTCCCAAGCAGGAGAGCCTCTCCTCCAGGGAATCCGACCCTCTGAAAAGGAAGCCCCAGAATACAGGCAGAAACGCAGATCTGTGGAAACACCTGGGCAAACTCTCCAGCACGAAAATAAACACAAGCAAAATCATGTGGAAGTGAACAGAAGCCACGCCGGGAGAAGAGCACAGCGTCTCAGCGCGGTCACCCTGGAGGGGCGTCACCGTCATGAGCTGTGGACAGAACCCACATTCCCACAGGCAGACCCACGGTCCCCACAATGGAACCATCACAGAAAAGAAGGAAATTGGCAGAAGGGCCAAGGGGTGAAGGCGCCAGGAATTGGAGCCTGAAGATGAAGATCAAAGCCGGGATGGAAGGTGGGGCTGAAGGACCCGTCCAGAGGCCACCTTGCAGGGATGGGCGCTCCGGAGTGGGAGAGCAGACACAACAGAAAGGGAGAAACCACAACCAGCAACACAAGAGCAGCCTCGCAGGATGAGGGACGCGGGTCCTCGCGCAGGAGGAGCTGTCAGGCCTGGCCCACACGGCACAGGAGACCATGCCCGGGCAGCACCTCCATAGGAGAGGGTCATACACCTTCCAGAGACCAAGAGGGTCCCAGAGAACAGCGTCCAGCATCTCAAGGGCACCTCAGGGAGCCCAAACGAGGGCACGATCCCAGCCTCCCAGACACGTCGCCCCCACCAGACTGTCCATCAAGTGCAGGGAAGCCCCAGGCAGGGACCGCGACAGAGGAACCCCCCGAGCGAGGGGCCTGTCAGCATCACTCCTGTGGGACGGGCTCCGGATACCCCCAGAACAAAGTGAGTTAGAGGCGTGGGAGACGCATCATCAGGAAGCCAAATTAACAAGCGCCCAAGATAACACAACTTAAGAGGAGACTGAGACACTTGGGGTTCCATTAGTATATACACAGAAAATCAAGTTGATGGAAAAAGCTAATTATTAATTTCAGGAAAACGGAAAACTGCAAGAAAAGTCATCATCGTTCGTGAGGGGCTCGGTGGTGGTGGTGTGTGTGTGGTCATCGCAGTCCTGGCCGATCAACCTTCGGTCTCCACGTTGTCGACGGACGGGGGCGGGGAGGCGGGGCGCGGGGGATGCGTGGGAAGGCGGGGCGTGGGGGAGGCAGGGCGTGGGGGATGCGTGGAGGAGGTGCAGCATGGGGGATGCGTGGGGGATGCGTGGGGGAGGCGGGCGGGGCGTAGGGAATGCGTGGAGGAGGCGGGGCGTAGGGGATGCGTGGGGGAGGCGGGGCGTGGGAAGGGAGCTGATCACTTGTGGAAGGTGACAGGTGATGCCCCAAAACCTGCCCAGAGGTCGCGATAGCAGCCAGTTCCACAGACAACGGAGGTGAATGCTGAGAAAACCGGTTTGGAAATGTGGGAATGGACGGTCTGGAGATGGAAAGTGAGGTACAGGATTAGGGAGTGCTGTTTGCGGAACAAGCCTTAATAAAAATAAAAATAAACACATCCAAGTACAAACTGACGCTGAAAGGGACCAGCCTCCAACAGAAAGACGGTTTTCCTGACGGCAGCAGCGCCCGAGGCGGGATTCCCAGCAAGGGCTGTCGTTCGTCGTTCGGAGCCTTCGCCTGCAGTTGGTACCCTTGTGTCCCGAGGGATGGGAAGAGGCTGGGTGGGTTGTGGAAAACGAATCTATTAATTTCCAGTCTTCATCACCCCGAGATCCTATTTAGGACGAGCGCCAGGCCGGTGATGCTGCGTCTCTGAGAGCCTCCTCCTGCTGTTGGGCTGAGAGGTTCTGGAACCGAAACCAGAGCGCTGTCCAGGCTGAGGCGGGCATCTGGTGAGCAGAGGGACCGTCTGTGAATCTGCGCCCACATGAGACGCCCATGCCAACTGGAACTAATGCCGCTCACAGCCTCGTCACGCTGTGGCGTCAGCGTTCTGGGCAGGCCATCCACACGCACACTCGGGCCCTGGCACTGGGTCGGATCCTGGCCATCGGCCACTACACTCTACAAGCGGCTCCTTCAGCGAGGCACAACAATACTTGCTGATTCTGGGCCTCAGTTTCCCCCTTGTGAAAGGCGAGGCCAGTGCCTCAGCCTCACAGAAATAAAAAGTGTTCTAGGAGCAGAGGGAAGTGTGGTTTAAAACCCATGAAACCCACAGTGACGGCCTGAGATCGCGTCTCCCGACGGCACCACAGCCTCACAGTTCCAGCCGTGGGTCACAGACCTTATTCCAGGCAAACCGGGAACTCCAGCCAGGTCTAGGTTATTATTTCTTGCTAGTGATTTTTCAGAGAGATTTGTATCCACTGGGAACCATCAGTCATGTAGTCACCATGTGCGTGTGTGTGTACTTGCCTGTCTGTGCCTGTGTGTCTGTGTGTGTGTCCGTGTGTGCGTGTGTGTCTGTCCCTGCATGTGTGTGTCTGTGTGTGGATGTGTGTGCGTCTGCACCTGTGCTTGGTGTGATGAACGATGGTGGTGGGGTTGTGTGTTCTCCTGCCATTGGCTCTGACAGCTGGAGCCAATCTGGCCAGGCCGGTCCATGCATTCTTTCTTTTAAGGATGCCCTTAGGTAAAGCCTCTGCTAGTGAGTTTTCATGCAAGAGAACGTTGAGTTAAAATCATTTTAGGAAAAAAAAAAGACAAAAAAAACTTGTTTTGAGTAATGTCCATGCCCTTCAAAACTGAACACAGCATTAAGAAATAGCTGAGTACCCAGCATGGCAGCCTGTCTCAGAATGGTAATAAGGTCAGCTGCAAACCACACAGCCTGGCGCCCCACATGTGCTGGGTGGCCGAGCCATGCTCCGGGGCCTACAGGGCCTGGGGGGTGTCAGATGTGGCTTGATGGCTGCAGGGCCTGGTCTGTGGCCATGAGGCCGTGGCGGGCTGTGCACAGGTGAGTGCTGGGCCCACAGGATGTAGCCTGCGAGGCTGGCGAGATGAGCCAAGACCTCTTATCTCCCATCGGGCCTTCTGTTCCCCTCTCAGGAAGCCCGTCGGTGGCCAGCGAACTTTTAAACCCAAGTGCTGAAGAAGAAAAAGTCAAGGGGAAACCTAGGGGCTCCGTAAGATGAGTCTCGAAGCTGGAAAGTCACCCACATTCCCGGGGAGGTTCGGGAGTCTTCATACCCAACCAAAAGCTCTTCCTCAGGTCTGTGCTAAAACACGTTTTTTCCCCTCAGAAAAATAAGGCATGTTCTTACACAAATTTGGAAAGGATGACAAAATAAAAGAAAGATACTAGAAATCATCCACGGCTCATGTTAGCATTTTTGTGGATTTCCTTCCAATTGTGAGCATGACTCTGTGTGTGTGTGTGTGTGTGTGTATGTACACAGGGGGACAGGATAAAGTTGTGTTGAAAACACTAAAGTCAGGCTGCTTGGGTCAGAATCTGGACACCAAACAGTAGAGTTGAGCAAGTAAGTGAACCTCTCCACGTGTGTCCTGTAGAAGTGAGGGCTACCCCATGGCTGGTTGTGAAATCCTGCATGACAAGCCTACCCAGGGCTTGCACGGATGCTTACCAAGTATCAGCTCTTAGTATTACATTGATTGCACGAATAATCATACGTGCTGTATGTACAGTTGTGTGTCAGCCTCTTCACTCAAAGTCACAATGTGCACCCCATGGCACTGCACATTCTTTGAAAATACGACTTTCAAGGGCTGGCACGTCTGTGATGCGGCTCGGATACCGTCCGGGGGGTGTTCCCTCTTGGTGGAAGCCTGTGGCACTTGTGATGATGGTAACACTGCAGTGAAAGCCTCCCTTGTGAGCCTCTGTGATTGTCTCTGATCATCCCTCAGAATGAGCCCTGGGACAGCAGCAGGATGCAGATGTGGTTAGCATGGGGATTCACACTGCCCCGCCGCGCGGCTGAGGTCCACCCACGAGGATCCCCCGCCCGTGGCCGCCCTCCTCACCCAGCACTCCAGGCGAGAATGGGATTTCACTGCTGCTCCCATCTGCGGCTTGGGATTGCTGTTGAAGTGGAACATCGAGGGCTCTTCTAAATAAAGTTTCAATGTCTATTTTTGTCCATTATTATTAATAAGATTGTCAGTCTTTCCTGATTGATATATGAATACTAGTAACTTTAATATATTGTATAGGCCGGGCGCGGTGGCTCAAGCCTGTAATCCCAGCACTTTGGGAGGCCGAGACGGGTGGATCACGAGGTCAGGAGATCGAGACCATCCTGGCTAACACGGTGAAACCCCGTCTCTACTAAAAAATACAAAAACTAGCCGGGCGAGGTGGCGGGCGCCTGTAGTCCCAGCTACTCGGGAGGCTGAGGCAGGAGAATGACGTAAACCCGGGAGGCGGAGCTTGCAGTGAGCTGAGATCCGGCCACTGCACTCCAGCCCGGGCTACAGAGCAAAACTCCGTCTCAAAAAAAAAAAAAAAAAAATATTGTATAAATTTTGTGCAGATTATTATTGCAGTTTTGAAATTTGTTTATGCTGCTTCATGACTTCTTGCCTTTCCTTCGTTCTTCTTTCCTTTTTTATGTTTAGAAAGCTTTTCTCCATCCCCAGGTCAGAAAAGCATTCATTTTCATTTCTTCTAGTTGTTTTATAATTCAATTCAAAATTTTTAACTTTTAATTCATCTGTAATACATTTTGGTGCAGGTCTTAAATTATATGAATTAACTTAAACAACTCTTCTCTGGTTTATTTTGTTGTTGGTGGTGATGGTGATAGTGATAATGATGGTGGTGGTGATGGTGGTGGTGGTGGTGATGGCAGTGATGGCTGTGATGGCACTGGTGGTGGCAGTGGTGGTTGTGGTGGTGATGGTGGTGATGGCGGCGGTGGTGATAGTGATGATGATGATGTGGTGGTGATGGTGGCGGTGGTGGTGGTGATGGTGATGGTGGTGGTGAACTGTGGCCTCACATCCCCTGGCCCACGTCGGTCAGCCCTGCTGGTAGCTGCCTTCAATCTTGCTGGGCTGTGTGCATCCCAAGCTGGAGGAGACCCACAGCGCCCTCTCCAGTGGGTCCACTTGGGAAGGATCCTGGACAGCACTCCCAGTGACCCCAAGGGAAACACCCGCCCCCCCAGGCAACGCCCTAGAGTGCAGCCCAAGGTTCCAGGAGCTTCCTTTTGCTGGATGTACCTTTGAGCATATTGACCCTTAGCCCCGGGTCATCCCATGGCCCTGGGGATGTAGCAAGAGGCCCAGCAGGCAGGGTGAGTATCTCCTGGAGCCATGTCTCCTGGAAAGCTCCTTAGTGGCTGGCAGAGAAGGATTGAGAAGACATCTTCCCTGGCAGGCCTGAGCAATACACTGGCACACCCAACCTCATCCCTGGGCCGGCGTCCTCGCCCCCGCCATGCCCCCGACTCCAGCCCAGCTTCTCCACGTTGGTGGTCCAAATGCACCATGTGCCTCTCCCTCAAAGTCACTTTCTCAGTGAGCTTCTCCCTGCTGCCCTGCCCCCAGCCACAGACTCCTGGCCAGTTTCTTCCATAGCCCGTGACCCAATGACTCACGTGTGGCTCACTGTCTGTCTCCCTCCCCGTAGGCCCGTGACTCCTGGACAGCGCCTGGATGTGGCCAGCTGGGTTTTGTTCTCCGGCCGCCCAGCTGTGCCCTCCTGGCCTCCAGTAAGAATGAAGTCCATGCAGACAAAGGCCCACCCGGCCCCTGCTCCCTTTTTGTTGCACTAGGGTCCCAGCCAGGGCATCCACACTTGTCCAGTCCCATTATGAACACCTCAAGCGTCTGTGCTGCTCACTGGGGCCTCACAGCTGGTGCTTCCCCGTTGAGTCAGCGAGCTTTCCTTCCCACAAAGTGAGCTTTCCTTGCCAGATGGTGTCTGGGCACTGCTGCTCTGCCGTGCATGGCGCCAGCGCACATCCCATCCCTGGACGGTCACATTCCTGGATATGCTCTCAGCAGACACGGCACAGTGACCAGCGCCTGTCTTAACCTGGGAGAGACACCTGAGTGGCAGAGACAAGTTTTACTCCTCCTTGCAAACCCTGGCAAACATCGGCAGAGAGTCAAGGCTCCGCGGTGCTGTCCCCTGCGCTCCACGACAGGGATGGAGCTACTCATTCAAATCCAAATCCAGCCATTCCTCAGGGCCTCGGGGAATGGGATGAGAATGAAGAGACAGCGGCCGCAACAGTGGTTCCTGACCACTCCCCGGGAGCAGCCTCTCAACTGCGCCATCAGGGACGGGCCCGTCTGTCCCTGCATCACACATCACAATGTTTTCATGTTCTAAAGCACAAGCGGACGTTTCAGTGAGGTCATGGATTTGGTAGCAATATTTTAGCTTCGAACTGGTAAGAAACTAAGGCAAATTAAATTCCATGCTTAGCTTACACTTGCGTTTTAAAAGATTTTGAAAATAAGCAGCATATGAAGCTCAAAGAGCTATTATAAACTCCGCAGAAACATCAGAAAAGCCACCTGAAATTCAAAATAAATGAGAATCCGCCACTAAAAGATCTGAATCCAAATGAACAAAGCACGCAGCCTGCCCCGAGTGAGGCGGCCTCCACACCGACCCTCCGCACCTGCAGAGCCTCTCCGGGCGCCCGGCCAGGCCTCCGAGTGACGAAGTCCCTTTAGGGGAACATTGACCTAGAACACGCCAACATCTACAGGGTATGAAATGGTCTTAATAAAGGGTTACATCTTCTGAAATGCTGCATTTTAAAATCCTGTCTGTCTGTCTTTAGGGTCCATTTCCTTCCTAAGGCACGTTCAGAGCCGGGCCTTGCTGGGCCTCCTGGGCGCGGGCATCTCCCGGTGCAGCTTCGCCCTCCTTCTGCGCTGGAAGCCGCAGCCCGCCCCGGCC